GCGGACCCCTTCGCAGATGTTTGGTCCCTTGGTTCGCCCTCTCTTCGGCCACCAGTGTCGTCCCCTGTCCTCGTCGTCGCGCTCGTCGGCCCCAACACGACAGAGCCATTCTCCCTTGTGTCCACGCCCCGCCCACCTCGATGGTGAGCTCGGGGGGGAGGGGGGAGGGGAGGGGGGCGACGGCTGCACCTATCTGAAGGGCCAAGGCCGCCAGCGTTGAGGCTTCGAGGCGGAGGGGAAGGAGCTGGAGTAGGGCGAGGGAGGGGGAGGGGGAGTAGACAAGCTAGGTGCGCTCGCGTCATATCTGATGTCCTACCCCTCCCTCCCATCCCTTACCATGGCGTAGATCTCCTCTCTAGTCGCAGTCGGATGTCAAGCAGGGCAACGATCCCGAGAGGGTGCGCGATGCATCGTAGAGCACGGCATAGCAGGGCGTAGAAGAGCACGGCAGAGCGTAGTATGTCATAGCACATCGCATAGCGTGGCGTTGCGTAGAGAACGTTTGCATGTTACAGCATTGCAGCGCAAATAATGGCATCGCACAGCGGCACTGAACAGAACATGGCATAGCATGACGTTGCAGATAAATGCATAGCATGGCATAGCATGGCGTGGCCTTGAGTAGCCAAGCGCTGCATATCCTAGCATGTCAGTTGGAGACATGGCATCGCACAGCGAAGCACCCCAGAGCATTGCATTGCATGCCGTGGTATGGCACTGGAAATAATCACGCCAGCGCTGCAGCGGGAGCACGATTCGGAACGAGCGGGAGCGCGGAAATGAGGCCAGGGCTGCAGCGGGAGCACGATTCGTAACGAGCGGGAGCTCGACAATGAGGCCAGCGCATCAGCGGGAGCAGCATGTTGGAAACAAGCAAGTGAAAACCCGACTCCCGGGAATCTTGCGTGCAAAAAAACGGTACACGGATGGTGGCGACCATTTTCTTGACGTCATCAGGGGAGAGCGGAGAGTAGTATGCAGATTGTGTAATTGTAAGAAGGAGGGAGGAGAAGGAGGAGGAGGAGGAGGAGGAGGAGGAGGAGGAGGAGGGGAGAAGAAGGAGGAGACGGAGGAGGAGGAGGAGGGGGAGGAGATGGAGGCGGAGGAGGAGGCGGTGAAGGAGAAGGAAGATGAGGAGGCGGAAGAGGAAAAGGAGGAGGAAGAGAGCAACAGGAGGAGGAGGAGGGAAGAGGAGGAGGAGGAGGAGGAGATGGAGGAGGCTTTGGAGGTGGAGGAGGGGGAAGATGAGGAGGAGGAAGGGAAAGAGAGAGAGAGAGAGAAAGAGAGAGAGAAAGAGAGAGAGAAAGAGAGAGAGAAAGAGAGAGGGAGAGGGAGGAGCAGGAGGAGAAGGAAGAGGAGGAGGAGGAGGAGAAGGAGGAGGGAGAGGAGGAGGAAAAGGATGAGGAGGAGGAGGAGGAGGAGGAGGAGGGGGGAGGAGGAGGAGGGAGGAGGGAGCAGCATCAGGATGAGGGAAAGAGCGTGATGGGGAAGCTGAGGGTGGAGGCGGGCCTCCTCTTCCTTCTCCCCCTCCTCATCCTCATCCTCCTCCCCTTTTTCGTGTTCCTTCTTCTTCTCCTCTCACCCGCCTATGTCGCAGTCTGAGCTTGGGCCGCTTTTCTTCGTGCTCCTCGTCCCTTTCCTTGCTCGACGGGGGGGGCGCCCCTGAAAACATTCCGAGCCAGTTTTGCAGATCGGTGGTGCTTGGCCGGGGCTCAACATTTGTACCCTTCACGCGTTCCGCAAAAACATGTGTAGCCGAATCGTGTTCGGCCTTTTCCTCCTTACCGTCCTTCTCCTCCTACTCATCTCTCTCTGGGTCACTTCTCCCCCCCCCCCACTCGCCCGCCTCGCCCCCCCCTTTCCAGTCTCCTTGTCGTGATCCTGGTCGCCCTCCTCGACGCCGCCGTCGCCGTCGTCGCCGTTGCCTCCGTTGCCGTTACCGTTGCTTGTGTCGTGGTCGCCGTCGTCGCCGCCGCCGCCACCACCGTCGCCGTCAGCCCGCAGGTAACGTAAATATTTTCATGTGCGTCTCGATTGGGGCTCGCTCGTAGGTCCTTGAAGTGCTTCTCGGTAAGGTCTCGTTGTTCCTCCACAGCGCAGTCATGCCAAGGGCGATGGGGGAGACACATCCTCGAATGTGAACTCCTTAGGCCTGCCAGACCCCAGGAATCCTCTAATGCCAGTCTCGGTTGAGGTTCGTAGGTCTTCTAATGTGGGCCTCGGTTGGGGGCTCGGAATTCGCTTCAGCCGCTCAAGTCACGTAGGTCCTCTCATGTGCGTCTCGTTTGGGGTCCGTGAGTCGTTCAGGTGTTTCTCGGTGGTGGCTCGTAGTCTAATTCCTGTGCCGTTGAACATGCTCTCGCCGGACAGCGGGCTCGCCCCCATTTGAGGAGTGCGAAGTTTTCCGTCACACGCCTTGGCGCAAGTGAAGTTTCTTGCCACGGATACGAGGAACACGGGCCGCCCTTCGGTGCGCAGTGCTCGCGCCCGTCCACCGCACCTGCTGGGGTTCGGGAGCCTACTCTGCGAGCGCACGCCTTCCCGCAGGCGTCCGCGACGACGTGCGGGCCCCAATGGTATACACCACCACCACAACCACCACTACCTCAATTTCCCCTCCCTCCTCCACCCTCATCCTCCTCTCCTCTTCTCATCCTCCTGTTTTCCCTCCTCCTCCCTCCCCCCTCCCCCTCCCCGTACCCTTCCTCCTCCTCCCCCTCCCCTTCCTCCTCCTCCTCCTCCTCCTCTTCCTCCTCCTCCCCCTCCTCCTCCACCTCCTCCTCCTCTCCCTCCTCCTCTTCCTCCTCCCCTTTCCCTCCCCCTCCTCCTCCTGTGATTTCTGTGTTCCTGAGGCCTAATGACTGTATGCAGGCCTATGTTGGCCACAGTCGTTTCGACTCGCATTGGCGTTTCGTTCCGTAGCCGGCTTGGGTCATATGATTGCGCAGCCGAAAAGAGTCCGCGATTCGTGTTTCCGATATTATAGATTTCTCAGTTGGCAGCAGAGCCGTGGTTCTTCCCACCGTAGCTGCGCACCCGCTACAGCCTCGATTCCAGAAGACACCTGAGCACCAAGTGCAAGTTCAGAGTTCACACTGCGGCCGCCATGCCGCCAGGGGCTCACGGAAAACTTGGGGATGAAGAAAGTGGAGAGCCGACACGATTTTCAACACGAGTGGCTCGGGACCCACCGCCGCTGTTCACGGAACCGACGGACGAATACTTGTATCGACACTATAGACGAGACCTGCTGATCTGGCAGGCCAACACCAAATTAGAAGAGAAGAAGATTGGCGGTGTGGTTCTTAGGAATCTGCAAGGCCAGGCTCGACTCGCGTGCGCTGGGATTGTTGACGAAGCCTTGACGGGCGAGAATGCGGTCGAGCTGATCTTGCAGGCCCTGGATAACGCTTGTAAGCATCTCGGAAAAAGTTCCCGAGGCGCTCGAGAAAACTCTCAATACGTTGTGCGTGACCCTAAGAAGGAGAGGTTCACGTCGTTTGTGAACAGACGCAGGCTCGAGTTCATCGCGCTCGAGAGGTTGAAGGTTTGCTGCCGGACACGCTCAAAGGCTACAGTACATTACGTTTCGCGACGCTTGATGAAATATCCTCTGACAAGGTGGTTGGCTGGACCGACGGTGGCTCAGTGTCGAGCAGATCGCGAAAGCTCTCATCAGGCCGGACCGAACCGACAGACGAGCTGGACTACCGAGACCAACGACAGGTTTGGCTTCGCTTTCTATCTTTGGGATTTCGATGACTAGAGCACATCACCCCCGCCGCCGTCGATCGACATGGCCACGACTGACAAGTCAGACGAGCTAGGCGCGTTCGCTATATAGGTGATTAGATACGAGGACGACGGCTGTGAGGACGGCGAGGGCACGCTGCAGATCCCAGGGTCGGAGGCGATTGAGGGTGTATACCATATTGATGCTGAGTGGCTCGACGGGGTGATTGAAGAAGAGGATGTTCCGTGGGTGCCGTTGGATTTGCGGCCCGCGATGAGCTACCCAGTTGAGTGCAAGCAAGTCCAGAACCAGCTGAATGAGGCGCGAAAAAGGCCAGAGGTTTCTTCCCGCCACAGGGCAAGAGCAAAGGCAAGCATGGGCATGGACAAGACATTGGCAAAGGCAACGGCAAGCATAATCAGCGTAGGCGCATCTCGATCGACCAGCTCAAGCTCAGGACGAAGTGCGCACAGTGCAAGCAGGTTGGCCACTGGGCGCGTGAGTGACCACAGAATCGGCATCAACAGCGTCCTGCCCATGGAGCTTTCACTATGCATACGGCGGGCGGTAGCAACCACATGTTCGATATCCATATGCCGAGGCCAGCTGCGTCTGCGACCGGAGGTTCCTTGAAGTTCTACGTCGGAGTGATCGCCATGACCACGGGGCTCGCCATCAATGCGTGGGGGTCCTCGTGGACACAGGCGCTCAGGAAGGCGTCATCGGCGCGGAGCAGTTGAAGGGGCTCGTTAACAAGCTGAAGGAGTTCAACTTACAGCCACGGCGGGTGCCACTTTGGACCTCCTCCTCGCGGCATCGGCGGCGACGCGCAGGTCATTGGCCGCGCGGAGGTTCCCGTGGGCATCGACGGCGCGAACGGGATTTGTATCGTTCCGTGTTCTTGATGAGGAGGTGCCTGCGCTGTTTGTTCCCAGTCGGTCTCACCAGAGCGCTGGAGATGGATCTCAATCTGCGCGGATCTGGCGATCAGGCCTTTCTCCACGAGTTCGGCGCTGTCACAGAGCTGCGGGCGATCGGACAGAATGGCCGCGCGGCCATCAGCATCATAGAGCACGCGCCCGGTGGATGGCGCGATCCAGAGACCGAAAAAGAAGAGAGAGCGCCATCGGCTGTTGTGGACATGTCGCCATTACCTTCGCCACCGCCGACATTGTAGCCATCGCCGGCTTCAGCAACATCAGCGTCGCCAGCTACAGCACCCCACGCAGCATCTACAGCGTCGCAGAGCGAGACTAGGGCAATCCCA